CCGCCCCCCCCGCCCCACGGGGGCAGGGGGGCCCCGCCGCCCCCCACCACACAGGGGGGCCCCTCCACCTCCCCGGGGTGCCCCCCCCCAAAACCTTCACCCCTCTCCGCGGGGCGGGGGGCACCCGCCCGGCCTGGCTTCCTTCTGGCCCCACCAAGTGCCCCCCCCGGGCTCCCCCCAGCCTGTTCTGCCATGGGAATCCCAGGAAAACTGGGGAAAACGGGGTACGGAGTGTGGGGGGGGGGGCATGAATCCCCCCCGCAATCTCTGCAATCCCCCCCGCGCCGAGGCTGGGACTGGGGGGGCTCCTTCATTTTGGCCCCTTCGGGGAGCCCCCTTCCTTGAGGTGAGGGGGGGTCCGAGGGGTCTCCTTCCTTGTGGGGGGGTCTAGGGAGTCCCCTTTGTTTTGGAGGAGTCCACGGGATCCCCTTCCCTTTGGGGGGTCCAGGGGTTCCCCTTTGTTTCAGGAAGCTTTGGGGGGGCCCCTTCCCTTTAAGGGGGTCCAGGGGCTCCCCTTCCCTTCAGGGAGGGGGTCGCCTTCCTTGCAGCAGGGTCCAAGGGCTCCCTTTCGTTTCAGGGGGATGCAGGGGTCCCCTTCGTTTTAAGGAGGGGCTCCCCTTCCCTTTGGGGGGGTCCCCTTCCTTGGAGTGTGATCTGAGGGCCCCCCTTCATTTCAGGGGGTTCCAAGGGGTGCCCTTCCTTGCAGCAGGGTCCAAGGGCTCCCTTCGTTCCAGGGGGGTCCAGGGGCTCCCCTTCCCTTCGGTGGGGGCCCCTTCTCTGCAGTGCGGCCCGAGGGCTCCCCTTTGTTCTAGGGGAATCCAGGGGCTCCCCCTCCCTTCACCCCCCCTCCTCCCAGGGGGATCCCGGGGGGTCCCCCGATGTGCGCCGCACGGGTCCGGGGGCTCCCTGTCCCCCCAGGGGTCCCTACGTGCACCGCGGGGGTCTGAGGGCTCCCCGTCCTCCTGGGGAGGCTCTCTGTCCACCTGGGGGGATCCCGGGGGGGTCCCTATGTGTGCCGCACGGGTCTGGGGGCTCCCCCTCCTAGCGGGGGTCCAGGGGGCTCCCCCTCCTCCCGGGGGGGGTCCGGGGGCTCCCTCTCCTCACGGGCGGTCCCGGGGGGTCCCGCTAGGAGCGCCGCGCGGGTCCGGGGGCTCCCCCTCCTCCCGGGGGTCCCGGGGCTCCCCCTCCTCTCGGGGGGGTCCGGGGGCTCCCCCTCCTCCCGGGCGGTCCCGGGGGCTCCCCCTCTTCCCGGGGGTCCCGGGGGCTCCCCCTCCTCCCGGGGGGGGTCCGGGGGCTCCCTCTCCTCACGGGCGGTCCCGGGGGGTCCCGCTAGGAGCGCCGTGTGGGTCCGGGGGCTCCCCCTCTTCCCGGGGGTCCCGGGGCTCCCCCTCCTCCCGGGGGGGGTCCGGGGGCTCCCCCTCCTCCCGGGGGTCACGGGGCTCCCCCTCCTCCCGGGGGTCCCGGGGCTCCCCACCCCGGGCCCTGCTAGGAGCGCCGCGCGGGTCCGGGGGCTCCCCCTCCTCCCGGGGGTCCCGGGGCTCCCCCCCTTCCCGGGGCGGTCCCGGGGCTCCCCACCCCGGGCCCCGCTAGGAGCGCCGCGCGCCCCGCGCGAACAGGCGGCTGTGCCAGTAGTCGGGGTTGTCGAAGGCTCCGCGCGACGCCTCGAGGCTGCGCAGGGGCTGGCGGGCGGCGCGGCGGGCGGGGGGCGCCCGCCCGGCCCCCATGTCCTCGTAGCCCTGCTCGGCCGGCCCGGGCCGCATGTCGGCGTAGCCGTCGTGGCGCGCGGGCGCGCGCGGCCGCTCGTTCATGTACTCGTAGCCGTCGTCGGGGCCGCCCGCCGCCGCCGCCCCCCCCAGCTCCATGTACTCGTAGCCCGGCTCCGGGCCGGGCTCCGCTTCGGGCTCCGGCGGCGCCGCGCGGGGGC